AAATATTTCATATTGAAATCTGACATGATAAAGTATTAAATAGTTCGTAAATGATTTTTTTTTAATTTGCACTGATTTTTCGATAATTTTCTTTATGTATATGATTATGTAACTATGTAAGCTGGCAGGTACCACTAACTGAAACTAGCCGCCCAGTTACCGCATTCACAGTCCCCGGAAAGGGCTTATATCAATTTAAAGTCATGCCGTTCGGTTTACATTCCGCGCCCACAACATTCCAGAGACTCCTATATACGGTGTTGGGGCTCGAGTTATTAATATTTGTTATATTTTTAGATGGAAATAATCGAAAGTAAACAATCAGGATCCATATTGTATGTCTACGATAATTATATACCTGTATATAGTGTGGATCATAGAAATGCAAATATATATTGTTGTTCTAAGCGGAAAACAGAAAAATGTTCTGGTCATTTTAAGAAAGAAGGAGAAATATACACATTGGAACATGATCACGAACATTTAGCACAGCCTTGTATTATTGAAATTTCTAAGATGAGGAAAGAAATGGTTCGTTTAGTTCAAGAAACAACTATATCGTTGAAAACGATTTTTGACACAGTCTGCTTACAAAATTTACAAGCAGCTTCTTACATCTCATACGATCAAATAAAATATGTTCTTTCTCATCAAAAGAGCAAATCTTTGAGAGAGAGAGAGAGAGAGAGAGAGAGAGAGAGAGAGAGAGAGAGAGAGAAATATTCAAGAACAAAAACTGTCTGATAATGAAGAAGGTATTGTAACATGTATTTATTGATTTAACTTTTTTTTTAGATAGAAAAAAGTAATTGATTCTTATTCATTTTTTAATTAACATAAATGTTGAATTTGATTTAAATTATATTAATAATTAATTTTTTTTAATATTATTGAATAACATACAGCAAACATAGCAAGAAGCTATATAAAGCTGATATTCATAACCGATTCTTATTTTTAATATGTATGTTTAAAACTGTCTTAAATACGTACTATCTTGAGATATTATAAATCAAGCTGTATTAGTATCTTACGTTACTTAAGATAATGTTGAAATATTCATCGACTATAAATACTGGCCTGTGTTACTACATTTAATTACTATTTATTACGAAATTATTACTAATTATTACGAATATTATTTCTAATAAATAATAAATTACTGTTTTTTTATTTGTTAGCTGAAGCTGAACATCAACATTTAAAACGTGTGAAAGAAAATACAGTTTATTACAAATCCCAAGCGCGTCCGAACTTCCACGCCAGATCAGAGACAGAGCGATGAACTATCAGGTATAACATGATTTATGATTCATGTTTAAAAAGTAATTTATTTTAATTGATCTTTCAAAAATCAAGATATTTAAGTGATTTGACTTTAAAGTATATTATTAGTTATTAATTAATTTCAATAAATTAATTATTCTGAAATATCATTGAATTAAATATAAAGATTTCTTCAAAGATAATAAAATGCCTAAGATCTAAAATTTTTACTAATAATATTATTGCGCCCGTGCTTCGCGGTGTCGGCCGAGCATGAGTTGCGCCGACTGAAATCGTCCGCGGAAGCGGACAAGAGAGAGTTTGCTCCCTTAGCAACATTGTTGTTTGGCGGAACTCTGAGATTGATGTAAGATTGACGTGAGATTGACGTATGCTCTGTATTAAGAGTTCAATAAACCGTTGAAACTAACCGTTTAAACTAACATCGTTTAAACTGATCAACCTATCACATTAATAATATTTTACAAAACATGTGCAACGCATGACGAAATTATGTATGCGATTTATTGATTACGAAGTTACTACATGCGGCATAATTTTTTGTAATGTTTATTGTTTTATATCTTTTCCAGTTTTTATATCGTTTTCAGGTTTAATTATTTTCTAACATAAATATGTTTTCTATATCCATTTTATATAAATTATTTATTTATTTATTTATTAAATTTGAACTTTATATGAATACATATATTTATATATATATTAACTGAAGAAGATTCTATGTAGTTTGAAACGTTTTATTATTGTGTTTCTTTTGACATTAAATTATTATTTATTTATTAATATTAATTATTTTGTGATTCTATGTCATTTTTATTCTGCTCGTTCCTTGGCCGAATAAATTTTTCACATTTATTAATCAATCACAAGTTTGATAGTTTATTTTAAATTATATTTTATGTTTAGTAAGTAATGATTAAAATAAAGAATTTTGGATAGAAAACGATAGGTAAACTTCAACATACAGATAGAACACAATAATATAAACACAAAATTATACAAAATTAAGACGTAATAGATTTACATATAATTTATTTATTAGAAAGTTTCTACAATGAAAGTTTCTACATTGAAAGAAATATTTGATTCAGAACGATAGAACACTGATGTAATAAATAAAAAAAAATGTCGAGTCACAATAGAACATGATAGAATGATGTGCTATTTATTTTTATTCAGTTAGTATATTAAAACAAAAGAAATAGAAAGTACATTAATAATGAAAAAAATAAAAAATTATTAGGAATACAATGGAAGTACATAAAAGTTACAATAAAATATAATTAATACTGTATTTGTTTAATTCTTAATTTATAGTTTCAATATACATGAATTGCGGACAGCATTGCAGTATTCTAAACGTTATTAATAAGATATAAAATCTTATTATTCATAAAACTCTTATAAAATATACAGGGTGTCCCAGAACTGGCGTACCGCCAGGTACCAGCGTATTCTCCGTGAAATTCTAAGACGAAAAGTTCTTTACTAAAACGCGATCCGATAAATAGAATTTGAAAGGTAAGCTATTGAAGTTCACGAATCGGCGCGCGTAGAATTCGCGCGGTCAGGCACGTCCGAGACTGGCGCGAGGCACTTCAGACACTTGCTCGTGTCATAAA